TACAGCAGAAGAACTCAAATCACTCTATAAAAAAGATAACTGCACACATATGTTTATCGCAGCATTGTTCACAATAGCAAGAACCTGGAAGCAACCATGCTGTCCATCAAAAGAGGACTGGATTTTAAAAATGTGGTACATATACACGATGTTATACTACGCAGCCATAAAAAAGAACAAAATCGTGAATTTTGCAGCAACCTGGATGGAACTAGAGTCTATAATACTGAGTGACCTCTCACAGAAACAAAGATCCAAGTATCACATGTTCTCACTCATATAATGGACCTTGAACATTCAATGTAATACTATAAGAAAATGACTGACGGTACTGAGAAACTATGGGGGGGAAGGGGTTGGGATTAACAGTAGCAAACATCTGTCTGTGGATGGGAAAACACCTCTTATCAACAGGGTGCCTGAATGAAACGTAATTGTACACCTAACCCTTAACTGTACCCCACAAAACCATAATAAAAAATATTGATTAATTAAAAAAAAAATCTCTTATCAGCGGTGTTTTCTGCAAGGGTAATTCCCATCCAGTAGGGGGCGCTTTGAGGTGTGGGTGAATGGCAGAGCATGTTAGAAAAGGCAGATGTACCGAGGCCCTGGCTCTGTGGCTAGCCTAGGCTCATCCAAGTGTCAGGGAGGCCCTACCTCAACAGTCCAGGGTATTCCAGAACATGGCTCCAGTCCCCAACGTGGGTTCCCCTGGCTCACAACTAGGTAGTCTCATATTCCCTTCATTTCCTTCTTTAAAAACCCACTCCTGCCCAAAGGCTCTTCCCAGCCCCCCACTATCCCAACCACTCGCCCTCCTCTGCCCCCTCATCTACTCTCCCTGCCCCCTGCCTCTCCCCTCCAACGAGCGAGTGATATAGGTTTTATGTACACCTGACCCCCAGAGGGTAACCAGCTAGCCAAGTCCTACATAGCACCAGGCTTGACAGGGTAGATGGGATTTGAGCAGAACCGATTTGGGGTAGTGAGATAGCAGGGTCATAGTGAATTCTTCTAGGGGAGGTGCAAGATAGAAATGGGGGGAAGGATTTGGAGGGAGTAACCCCATAGAGTCAAGAGTTTGGGTTCCAGAATGCAAAAATTGGAGATGTTTAGAAAAAAAGTTGAGGCTGGGTTATAGAGGAATTAGACTATCAAGGTGGGGGGTTTGGACTCATTTCTAAAGGCAGGAGGAAGGTGTGAAAGGTTTTGTGCCATCAGGAGGGAAGGGGGAGTGCCCTGAAGAATAGCCCATAGCCCATATCTATGGATGGGATGGAGTTGGAAAGGGAGGACTGAGAATAACCTACTGCAATAGTCCAGGCAAGAGGAAGTGGGGGCTAAAGCAGGGCAGTCATAGAAACAGAGGGGAGGAAGCAAACTAAGACGGAGACAGACGTATGGCACGTTGAATGCTGAGGAAAGGGGGAGAAGCTCTGGGACCCAGGGCATGAGACCTTCTCCCTTAAAGTCACCAAGCTGCCCTGTAAAGGGTGCCAATCTTGAGATCCAGAATTTACTTCCCTTCCTGCCTATTCTTCTTTGAATCACACATTGAACAAAGCAGAGTTTGTGACTGTTCCTTTTAAGGAAGTGGGGGCCTCCTCTTTCTATACATGTCCACTGAAAGTTCTCTGGCCCTCCCCAAGACTGCCCCACTCCTCCAGATGAGCTGGGTTGGCATCTCTATCAGACCTAGGACCCCTTCTCCCAGTGCCTGGGCTTGCCCCAAGGAGAGAAGTGTACGGCCAACAACTCTGCTGGCTTGTCCTCTGATCTGATGGAGAGAAGGTTCCCGCTCCATGCTGCATCAGGCAGCATATTTGGCAACTTGAGACCCCAGAATGAGCTCAGTCCCTAGAGACAGGAGCCCTGGGCTCTGATGCCAGATCAGCACCTGATATTGTGTTCCTCTCAAACTCTCAGTCACCTCATTTTATAGGTTAGCAACATCTATAAACTTGGTTAGCAGCATCTTACAGGCAGATGGCCTCACAAGATCCCCTCCAGCTGAGGCCGTTGTGAATTTAAGATAACACCATCCCCCTGAGCCCACCAGGAAGGGCAGGGAGGGAGAGGCCCAATGTGGCCCCGGCCATAGGCTCCGTCTTGCTGTTTCACCATGCCTCCCTCAGAGGCCAAACCTGGAGGCAAAAGAATCTGTACCACCACTGCCACGACAACCCCTCCCAATTCCCATCCACAAGTCAAAAGCTTTCCCCCCAAAGACACAGACACTCGCTGAAGGGCAGTGAGTTATTTATTGGCTCCTATTGACAAGCAGGCAGTTTCCCTGGCACCGGGTTCTATGTGCCTTCCCCCCCAACCCTCCAGTCCCTGGCCCCCACCTCAATGCCCATCAAATTTTCAGTCAGAGAGGCACAGAGAGGCAGAAGTTGAAAATTCTAGATTTTAAATATATAAAGTGTGGCAGCATAGCTTATCGAGACTGAGCGGATCCTCCATGACCTAGCAAAGGGCGGCAGGAGGAATAATGTCGGGCTGGTGGTTGCAGGGGCAATTGAGGCCACATGATCTCTAAGCCCAGGCTGGAAAGGAATCTGCTCATATTTTCTTTGGCAGGCAGTGTTTCACTTTTCTCAGGTATTCCTGAACCCATCCAACTGTCTTCAAGGCACAGGTCTCTCTGCCTCCCTTCAGCTTGAATCTGTGAATAGAGAACCAAAGAGAGGGCTGAGCCACCCCAGTCACCCACGAGTGGGCACCGCACAAGGCCCATCTCCACTTCCTAGCTGCTAGATGCCCCCAGGCTTCTCTCTCTGGGCCTCATGTTCCCCTTCTGCAAATGAAGTCACTGCCTGGGGTCTGTGGCTTGCATGCTGGAATGGACATCAAAAGATCTCAAAAGAGCTTATTAATCCAGCTTTCTGGACCTCTCTCCTGGATATTCCAGCTCAGTGCATCAGGGTGGGGCTGAAGACCCTGCAAACAATCTGATGATGAGCTGGGATGATAAAATCCCAACTCAAAATGTCTCTCTGCCCCCAACTTTAATGTTTCTGTATCCACCTGGGACCTCACTTATTTCTTTGGAGTGTGTGTGTGTGTGTGTGTGTGTGTGTGTGTGTGTGTGTGTCTATTCTTTCTTTATCATCTGCCCACTTCCTAAACTTGGCTATCATCCAGTCTATAGACCAACAATGCTTCTTACCTTAGACCGATAGCTCTACCTTCCTGAACCTCAATTTTAATGAAAACAAAAATGTGTGCCCAAGGAGGGTCAACAGAGATCATTTACATGACAGCACCTTAAAATACTGAGTGGTGTGCATAAATTACCCCAGCTACGAGTATAATGACCCTGTGATGCCAATATCATGTTTACCTCACCTCACAGATAAACAATACAGAGGGATACACAGACAATGAGGTGCAGAGGAGCTACCTGTCCAAGGTCACCTGAGACTATAGGCTGGCAAAGCCAGAGGCAGTTTTCCCACTGAACAATAACGCCTGGAGCTTTCATTAAGTAAGTTCTTTCTCTGAGCCTATGATACGGGACATAACACTAAGCACCTTGGAGTTCCAAGAAACACGTCACTGCCAGAGCCCAGGTGAGTACTTCCCGGCACCTGCTAGGAAGCTTGGCGCTCCCCCTAGCGTTCGTGCTCGGCTTGCACCTAGAGATGGGAGGTCTCGCGCTGGGCCCGGAAACTTTACTCTGGTGGAACACTGCCATCTAGCGTCTGCTGTTCTAATTCCAGGCCGCGTGGTTCTGCTGTCTAAGGAAGGGATGGAGCAGGTGATTACTCACATGAAGGCTTCGTAGGGGCAGATGGAGCTGGTGCTTTTGAAACATTGGATTATCCTCGGGGAAATCTTTTTCTCCACAAATGAGAAGCAACAGTTGGAGGAAGACACATGCACTATAAGAAAAATACAAAAGGCCATTTCTCAATCTCTCACCCATAGCATAATGCAAAAAAAGAAAGAAAGAAAAAATTAAAGCCCCTCCCAGGACGGACCCCAACCTTGAGACCACATGCAGAAGTCCCCGGCACAGATCTGTCTCATCAGCCACCTAGTTCTGGGGATAGATGAAGGAGGAGTCAGGGGTCACCACACACCAGCTGGGTGGACTTGATGAAGATGACCCCTCGCCTTGGCCCCAGACTTCCCATCTGTAAATGAAGACATTTTGGACTCTAATTTCTAAAGACTCGTCGAGGTCTGATATTTCCCCCACAAGAGTATGGTTCTGCCTCAATATTTGAGCCCAAGGGCTCTAGGCCCCACCTTCTGGGGTCCCGGTCAGTCGGATGGACACATGCACACAGAAGATGGTGGTCCATGGTCCACAGACCTGGACCAGTTTAGGAACTGTTCAAGGAGTCCAAACTGATGAAATGCCATGGGAAGAGCTTCCAGGAGCTCGCCAGCTTCCCTGCTCAATCTCTTGAACCCCCTCCTCCAGGTGCTCGGCTTTTTCCTGGCACCCAACTCCCAATCTGCCAGATTGCACATTCTCCTTCCACTGGACACCTCCAAGAGACTTGCAGTCCAATACTGGCCCCTTACTTCTAGTTTTACTGTGCACAAACCCCTTTGGGGTCTGTTACTACATCAGATTCTACCAACAGCCTTAGAGGATAGGTGCCATCAAATCCATTCCACTGATGGAGAAACCAGCATTTGAGAGGTAAAGTAACTTACCGGAGGGTAGCCCTGGCTATTTTTAGACGATTAGAGCCCCAATCTTGGCTTCAAACTGACTATTATTTGTCACACTGTAGAGGCAGGCCCCAGTCCCTCTTCTGGACCTCAGGCCTCCCAGTGTGACCTAGGTAGCCTCATGAGTTCCCTTCATCGGTCTGCAGGATCTGGATAAGGCAAAGCTTCCTTTTGCTGAAGCGGGTGGCTGTTCTCTCTGATTAGTTCCCCAGTTGGTCCTCGCCCCCCTCGCCTCCCCCCCCAGCCCATCTAAGTCCTCCCTTCCTCCTCTTCAAGTAGGAGAAGGAAGACAGTCAGTGTGTTCAAGGTGAAGCCTGCCCTAAACCCAGAGCACCTGTCTACATTTCTGACCTCCCCAAGAAAAAGCAAAGTGATGCCTGCCACACTTACTGCTCTTGCTGCTCACAGCGTGTGGCCACATCCCGGCCAGCATCAGGCATACCAGGGCCACGGTGACGGTGACGGTGACGAGCTTCATCTTAGGTGGTCGGGCTCAGGTCTTCCTGGAGCAGCCTCAGTGAGTCTGGTGATGCTAAGAGTGCACCACTGTGCCATCCTTTAGTGCCAAGGGCTATTAATAGTCAAGGAGGGGAGTTCCCAGTCCATGGTGAAAGGGTGGGAGTCACAGGGAGAAGGGATAGTGACTCACACCCAGTGACCATGTGGAAAACTTCTTCCCTCACCTCTCCTAGGTGGTATTCGTGGTAGTGGTGGAGTGCTAGCTGGCGTTGGGAACTTCCCCAAGTGCAGGAGAAGATACGGATCTCGAAAAAAGTGCGTGGAGACTGTCCTGACTGTGAGTGGGAAGTAGAGAAAGGTGAGGGAGAGGAAGTGGCCTGCGTGTGACTTGGTTAACTCCACCCTGTTCCCTCCCCACATGTAGCTACTGCCTCTGGGACATGACAGTCCAGAAGAGTCTAGACCTGCACGAGACACACCTGGGTTTGAATCCCAGTTCTTCAAATTAGTGATTGCACAAACTCACCCAAGCGCATGTCCACACACATGGAAACAGCCACACCGGTCTCAAGGGTATGCATGTCAAGTACCTGGCCCAGATATTTGCTATTTCTATTTTTTCAGTCCTCAAGCCTTTTCAGTAGTTTATTCTAGGTCCTCAGCTGGCCCTAGGGAAGGCAGTCATCAATGGGATGCACATCCCTTCATTCACAGGCAAACAAAAGCCTTCCAGTGTAAGGATGCCAGTAGATGCCATATCGAGGGCAAAGAAAGGGTCTGGGCACTACCCACCAGCTTCCGGGATCTCTGCCAGGGGAATGTTCTTTTTTCGTTGTTTGTTTGAGTTGGAGTCTCACTTGTTGCCCAGGCTGGAGTGCAGTGGTACTCTCACAACCACTGCAGTCTCGACCTGCTGGGCTTAGGCGATCCTTCTGCCTCAGCCTTCCAAGTAGCTGGAACTACAGGCATGCACCATCAAGTCTGGCTAATTTTTTTGATTTATTGTAGAGACAAGGTCTCACCAAATTGCCCAGGCTGGTCTTGAACTTGTGGGCTCAGACAGTCCTCTGATCTTGGCCTCCCAAAGTGCTGGGATTATAGGTGTGAGCCACCATGCCTGGCCCAGAATGTTCTTTAAGTCAAGTATTTTATAGGCTGCAGTGGAAAGAATCGTGCTAAGTAGAGGCAGGGGCTTGTGGAAGGACAAGGCATAAAGGAGCATGCTTCATTCCGAGGGGTTGGGTAAAGCTGGAGTGTGAGGGCAGGGAGAGTGACGGAGGTAAGGCAGTGGCTGCAGGGATGTGGCTGAACAGCTACAGAGAAGCCTGCTCATGAAGACGTTGTGCACAGTGCTTGGAGTAAGTAGCACACAGTACATGCTCAAGGAAAAGTGGATGTGCCAAATGTATGTACATGAAGCCCAGCTGGGCGCAGTGGCTCAAGCCTGTAATCCCAGCACTTTGAGAGGTTGAGGCAAGAAGATTGCCTGAGCTCAGGGGTTCGAGACCAGCCTGGGCAACTTGGTGAGACCTGGCCTCTACAATAAATGAAGAAAAATTAGCTGGGTGTGATGGCGCATGCCTGCAGTTCCAGTTACTTGGAGGTAGAAGGATTGCCTGAGCCCAGCAGGTCGAGACTGCGGTGGCCATGAGCATGTCACTGTACTCCAGCCTGGGTGACAGAGTGAAACCCCGACTCAAAAAACAAACAAACAAAAAATGAGGCCCATGTGCATTATAGAGCCATAGAGGGCAGGCTAATCTGATCTACTTTGATCAGGTATTCTCTAGCTCAAAAATCAGCCTTGGCTCCCTAGTGCCAATTGGATGGAGAACAAGCTACTCACCTGGACATTTATGGCTGTTCCTGTCATATCTCCATGGATTCTGGCACATTTGGGTATTTGTAATTCTTCTGCCACCTGCTTTTCAATCTCCAGGATTTTGCCCCTGCTGTAACCTCTGCCTACAGAGCCCTGCTCCCTGTCTCCCTCTGTGAATTTCCCATCCATTTCAAATGCCATTGTCTTCATAAAGACCCTTCTGCTATGCCCCACTGATGGAATCTCAGTCTCCTTTGAAGCCCCCACTGCCTGAATCACCATAGGAAGGTATTATATTCCTCCAACTCCCCTTGCTCAGTCCACCTTCCAGACTCTCACCTACGTGGGAATCTGTCCTGTGAGTGTCCAAAAGTCCCTTCAAGTCCATCGGCTAGAGTGGTTTTTAATGTCTTCTGGGACAGCTTTTGCAAAACGTGAATGGCTTGGTCTCATTTCAGAATCAGAATCAAAACACATGTAAACTACTTGTTAGGAAGAGGAAACAAACCCAACTCCATGTAATTCCCTCGGGCACCAGAAGATAAGATTCACACATCCAGTATCATTTCTTCACACTGTGGTAGGAAAATGAGAGGAAAGTACCTTGCCCAAGGTCCTGTTGACCTCAGCTGCAGGCATGGGATGATGAGACTTGAGCCCTGGTCCACCCAACTCCACGTGCAGCTGTCTCTGAGAACACACTTTCAGCACGGTGCACAGCTAACTACCTCTGTTCCGCTCGACCAAGTACCACTCATCCCTCCAACTGTTTCCTGTCACTCGAAAAGTAGTTGAAGTAGTTGAAACCACAAACCACTATTGTCTCTCTCCTATTCTCTTTGTCCTTGGAGATCCTTTTGTATTCCTCCACTGTGGGGCCTCAGGAGAGAGGGTGGGGGGATGCAAGTATGCAGCACTATGGGTCCTTTCGACATGGGAAATGGAGAGGGGACAATGTAGTCACCCAGGAAATTCTGTGCTCTTCCCCTCCTCCTGGGGCTGCTGCCCAGCCCACTCAAGAAGGGAATGGGGCTGCCCCTCCAGCACTCACTTCCCCTCCTCCCCCTCACGCGGCCACAACCAGCCCAGCAGAAGAAAGAAGGGAATAGCAAGATTTAGTCACACTCTTCCTTTCCAGGCGCCCTCAGTGCCTGGAAAGAACTGCCTGGAGGGAGGCTCTTGTCACACAGGAACTTAATGTTCCCACAAGCATCTCCCTACCCCTAATTAGGTCAAGGTCTCGGGAGTTTATCCTGCATACAAGGGGGAGAGTTGTACCAGGTGCCTATCAAGAGCGTCTTCTCCAGGCCCTGGCACAAAGGCTAAGACCAAATAATAACCCAATAAAATAGTCATGTGATGGAGTGGGCTGGGACAGAACGGCATAGGATGGAGTGATGCAGAAGGCATGCTCTCAGAATAAACACTGAGCTTTATTCATATGAATAAACCTTTTCATTGTTCGAAGATTGGAAACCGGAGGTGCCTGTAGATGTGTTTTCTTATGGGTCCTCTTTGATGACCTAGGTACCAGCTTACTGAGGTAAGGTAGAGGCTGGACAGAGTCCAGCCCACATGGGTTCTTCTTAAGATCACCACCTCCAGTGGTGCCCAGCAGTGTCCAGGAGTGTCGCAGCCCTCTTGCCTTCCCCCCGCTGGCCTGAGTGGACTGGAGTCTGGCCTTGCCGGCTGACTTTGTAGTTACAGTTCAGCCTGATCCTTACAGACCAGGGCACAGATCTCCATGGTGCGTCATGCAGCTGCGGAAACATTGGTCTCGCTTCGTCCATCTCTGGAGTCAAGTCTCCTTAGTTCCTTCACTTAGAGAGGAGGCATGCTGTGGGGGAAGAGTATGGTAGTCAGACAGAACTGGGTCGGAGCTCAGCTCCCCCAAGTGACCTTGGGCAAGTAACAGAGTCTTTTTTGTTTCCTCATCATACTCAGTGATTTATCACAGAAACAAAGAACAGAGCTCCATACGTTCTCACTCATAAACGAAACCTGAACAATTATAGTGCTATAAGAAAGCAATGGGCAGTTAGTGGGAAACTGTTGGGGGGTGGGGTGGTGGGATTGGCAGCTGAGGGAAACTGCTAGGGGAGGGAGGGGCATACCTCACCAAGGGTACCTGCATGATCAATGTTTATATACCTAACCTTGAAATGTACCCCATATCTTTATGATAAAAATATTTTAAAAAAGAAAGCTCCCATGGGACCTGGTACAACTCTCCCCATTGTATGCAGGATAATCTCCCCAGACTTTGACCTAATTAGGGGTTACTTGAAAGATCAAATGAAATTTAAGAGGAAGGGAGGAGAAAGTAAAAGAAAAGATACGGTGGGGACCAGACAGTCGCAGGCCCTGCCCTCGTGGAGCTCATAGCTAACTAGGGATGCAGGTTCTGGGAATTGTGGTGAGTTATGGTCATTGCTCTGAGGAGACAGACTATGTCCTGTGAGCTGCAGAGCATACAGAAGTCCTCACCATGGGACCTGACACAGTAGGTACTCAGTGAGACCATGTCTCTCTTCTCCCCTGGATCCTGGATCACTCTGAGGGTCAGCATGTGAACCCAGGCAGTGCCGCCCTCTCCCCTAGCCAGACCCACTTCCTGGTCTCTTTCCCTTCTCATCTGGTGCTGCCCACCACTCAGGGCAAGCCGTGTACCATTGCACACATGAGCACAGTGTCCTCTTGGGTCCTCGAGTCTGCACTAGGCCCACTGCCTCTTGCAAGCATGAGTCCTGTCTGCCGCCAGAACCTGACACCCAAATGCCTCGGAATTCAAAGCTCTTTCTCAGGTTGTGCAGCTCCTCTTACCCTCTGTCTGCATTCCTTTTTCCTCCACTTCTCCCCTGACCTTTGGCTCTTTTGTCCTTTTTAGGGAGCCTCTTCCGTCTACATCTCAGCAACGATGTGAAGGAGGCACCGAGCATCCCTTATACAACAGGCAAACCAAGGGGTACCCAAAGGATGTCAAGGCACCCAGCTTTCCAGTGTGCCACTGAGCCTGGTCACACGTGGCCCACAGTGCTCAGGGTGATGTGTGGCTGTCATGGCTGGACTCCCAAAGCCACACACAGCATGGCTGGCTGAGCTGCCACCTCACAGCCCCACTCCCTGTCCTGCATAAGCCCCGGGTCTCCACTGCCCCTTCCGCCTGGAGCTCTCCTTCCCACTTTGTATGGCTAACT